CAGCAAGACATTCTGCCATCAAGTGACCCAGAGTGCAGTTCCCAGATGCAATGCTGTAAGGGGACCAGAGAACCTGTGGGGGCCCCCATCTACAGAAAGTGAGAGACCACCTGGACCTGAGTGATGCCACAGATTGGGTGAAAGAGCCTCATACGCCAGCCAAACAAGTGAAAACTGACATTCCTGTCAAATCTGCTACTTTCCTCCATGCATTTATGGACATTGCATATAGTTAACACGTGTTGCGACCTAGTTCCCCTGGCAGCTTCTATTGAACACATTTGCAGCATAGTTCAATCTTTAGAGCTCACCGCAGTGCACAGTTACTGCAGGCCAGACCACATAATTTTCCCTTTACCATCGGCCTAACCTCTTAAAGGAACATCTACCACCATTGCTATTAGTTACTGCAGTCCAGACAGGAGTTGCGCTTTGCCAGCAAGTGCTTCTGGCAGCTTCTGACACTTTTTTGCATATAATTTATAACCTGCTTAGTGCATTAAAGGGACAACACCCAAGTCAAATGCCACTTAAAGGGATAGTATGTGTCCTTCCTTCTTCTTGTTTTTGTTCTAACCATTAGAGGGACAGTCACCTTCATCTCTTCCCACTTAAAAGGTCTGAATCATTGTAGTGCACCAACAGGGCCCCAACGAGTGCACAAAAGATCCCTTACTGCATTTAAAGGGACGTTGACTACTCTAATTAAAGAGCTCTTTCCTATCTTACATTTAAACCTTGCCATCAGATCCAGAGGGTCCAAAGTGAACTAGTTCAACATTTGATAGTTTCCTTGCTCACTGGGGACTAGAAACACCTCAGGTTTGAGGTTTTGGGTTAACTTCTGAATAGCAGGCCTGCCAACACTGATTGAGATTTTCCTGTATGTGTTACTTTGCTTAGAGTTGCTAAAAGTGGTAATTTCCTTTACGTACACATATACCACTTTATGCTCTTTGACCGAGCTTACAGTCAAGTTTAATATAAACATCATATCAGTTCACCTTGAAATGGAATGCACATTGGCAAATATCTACTGCCCAATAAGAATCCAATGCCCATTTAAAGGACATGTTAAGAAAAAAAGGATGTTACATCAATTTAAACTGATGGATGCTTCTAAAAACAAACATCCAAGAGTAAGAGACTATACATTCATTTCCTCTGTGAATAGGATGTACTGAAGAATGGACTATATAATAATAGAACAAAGACTATTGGAGTAAATAACTAAAGCTAATATTGAGGTAATATCATTATCAGACTACGCACCTGTTACAATGAAGTTAAAATTAGAATAAATACATGAAAACTTAATGAGACACTTATACAGGATCAGGAGACGGAAGTACAAATATGAAAGGAAATAGAGCAATATTTCCCCCCATAAGGCGTATATTGGGGGTAACCTGATTTCTATAGGGGCAGACAAAAAGAAAAAACGGTTGAAAAAATAAGAGTGTTAATAAAGGAACTACATGAATTAGAACAACTACATAGAAACAAGAAAATAGAATTAGATATACAACATACAATAATCTTTAAAAGAGAAGAGTTAAGTGACCTAATGGAAGAGGAGACAAAAAGAGCTTTCAACATGGTGGCAAAGGAAAGATACCAGTGGGGGAATAAACCAGGAAAATACCTGGCAAGGATGTTAGGGAAAAATAAATCAGCAAATTTTGTAGAGAAAATTAGAAATAAGGCAGGAGAAATGGTATACTCAACCACAGCAATAGCTAGAGTATTCAAAACATAATATAGTACGTTGTACGCGGTAAAACCTAATAGTCAAGAAGAATTAGAGGCAGAAAGCAAAATAAAATTTCAGACATATTTAAAAGAAGCCAGACTCCCTAGATTAGAGAAAGAAAGACTGGCAGCCATAGAAAAACCAATAACACAAGAAGAAATTGAAGCTGCACTGAAGAGTACAGTTGCAGGAAAGAGTTCTGGAACAGATGGTTATATGGTGAGTAATTACAGGTAATTTAAAGAACAACTAGTCCATAAAATGTGTCTATATATTAATGCATTAGCGGAAGGAATGGAAATGAGGAAAAGGTCATTGCTGGCACATATTACAATTATACCTAAAGAGGGTAAAGATTTAATCCAATGTGCCAGTTACAGTCCAATATCATTGCTTAATATAGATACGAAATTATATGTGACCGTTATAGCCAGTAGGATGAAAGAGATGATGCCAGAGTGGATACATATAGATCAGATGGGGTTCATTCCAGGAAGAGAAGGAAAAGATAATGGTTTGAGATCATTACTCTTCCTGCAAAATATTAATAAGGAGAGGTCTCCAGTACTATTCCTCTCAATTGATGCTGAAAACGCATTTGACAGGATAGACTGGGGATTCATGATAAGTACACATGGTCCAGTGGATAAAAATGTTACATAGTCATCCCGCAGTGGCAGTGAAGATCAATAGCTCACTATCTCAACCTTTTACTATGTATAATGGAACAAGGCAGGGGTACGCTCTTTCACCCCTGCTGTTTGTTTTATCCTTGGAGCCCTTGCTAGCAACTATTCGAAATAGGGTAGATATAAAAGAAACCCAGATTGGGGACATGGAACATAAAGTAGCAGCATATGCAGAGGATATGTTGTGCTATGTCGCAAATCCCAGATTAACATTACCAAATTTAATGACAATATTAAAATATTATGGTGAATTACCAAACAAAAAAAATAATCTTTCAAAGTCGGAGTTATTAAATATCGGCGTTCCTAAGGAAGAAAAACAGACCATACAAGAATAATTTTCATTTACATGGAGGGAAAAAGAATTAAATTATTTAAGAATAAAATTAACCTAGTCCCTTAAGAATACATATCAGGAAAATTATACATCATTAATAAATGAGGTAAAGGGTGAACTGAGAAAAATATCAATAGGATCACTTTCCTGGGTGTGGCGAATAAATATGGTTAAGATGGTGATATTACCAAAAACTTTACATAAATATGAGTTCACTCTAGTCTGTGTGTGAGTCTGTTTTCTGGTGATAATTTACTTTGGTCAGAAGAGTACTGTGGTGTCAGCAGGGATTGGGCTTTCAAAGAAGGGGTCCAGAGAGACAGGGAGCCCGAAAATAACTCAACGACTTCTAAGGGGGCAGTGCCACATATACAAGCACAACTAAGTGTTCGGACTATATATCTATCAGCAGATTTTGTTGATGAAGTGACAAATTAACTGCAACTCAAGGTAAAAATATAAAATCTTCCTTTAGTCAATTTACGATATGTAACAGTAAGTATTACCTAAAAAGGTAAAATCATTTCAGTTACTGTAATGGCCTGAAATCTGTCTTTTTACAATTGCCAAAATCAGGCCTGTAGTAGTAAAGCCTGCTGTATAATCAGGGTGGGCATCCTTAATATGACAATGATCAATAAAACCCATACTGGCTTGAGAAAAATACCAGTTCTTTCACTACACTCCTTCTCTTATAAATTCTAATTCCCTGACTATCTTTTGTTTCATCACTTTATGGGACACCGACTTTGATCAGGCACAACCAACACATTTGTTTTATGCCAGTGACTTAGAAAATAGAGAATTTACTGGATAAGCCTGACAGCCATTGCACTAGCATTTTCAGATGGGAGATCAGCAATGGCACATTTTCTTAAGAACTGGCTTACCTTTTGTAATAGTGCAGTACATAGGCAGACAACAGGTTAGCAGCATGGAGTCTGCATAGTTACAGGATCTTGCTGTGTCACTTAAAGAGGAATTTTACAGTCCCACTTTTTTTAATCTCTCTTACTCCTACTACAGCTTTGTCCAAATTGAAATACTTGCTTGCCCAATGGGTGCAGTATTGTCCTTCTGTGATCTGCTGATTAGGTTCAACAGTCTGGGTCCTGCACTGACATCCTGGTCCTTTTGAGTTCAGGCAGCTGGCCTATGATGACCAGTGCTATCCACCCGCTAGCCATTGGGAGCCCCTACACCTGCAGTCTTCCAAGATATGTGACATGGTATCCAAGAAGACATGGGAAACAGGCAAATATCATTCTCATCTAGGCAAGAATAATGACAGGGGCAGGGCCAGGCAAAAAAGTATAAAAATATACAAACAGTTTCAAGAAAGGTGTAGGGGAGGGAGTGCAGAGAATCTATAGGGTCAAGGTCTGTTTTTACATTATATTATGCTATCCTATAGCAAAGAAGAGATTGCTTAGTCAAAATGCTATACAAATTATTTGATATTACTATGCAAATTTCATGATTTCATGATTTCAGGTGAATCATCGGTTCTTATTTACAGTATATGTCTTACCAGTGTATTAAGCTGTTTGGCTGCAGTTGCCATTTACCAACAAGACAAGGGTGCACCCATGCACCTAAAGCCACTAGAGTAAAATATAACCTTTATTAGTATTTCATTAAAATGTACTCTTACAAGCCACTTTATTGGGGACACCTTGCTAGTGCTAAGAAAATATCCAGCCTGAACCGTTGATACATGGCAGGATGGATCCATGCTTTCATGCTGTTTATGCCAAATTTTGACCCTACCATCTGAATGTTGCAGCAACCAGTCTGCCCATTCTCTTCTGACCTCTGACATCAACAAGGCATTTTCATCCACACAACTGCTGCTCACTGAATGTTTTCTCTTTTTCGGACCATTCTCTGTAAACCCTAGAGATGGTTGTGCATGAAAATCCCAGCAGATCAGCAAATTTTTAAATACTCAGACCAGCCCGTCTGGCACCAACAACCATGCCACAAAGTCACTTAAATTCCCTTTTTTCCCCATTCTGATGCTCGGTATGAACTTCAGAAAGTCATCTGCACCACGTCTAGATGCCTAAATGCCTAAATGCATTGAATTGCTGCCATGTGATTGACGGATTAGCAATTTTTTGTTACCAAGCAATTGAACAGATGTACCTAATAAAGTGACCAGTGAGTATATATCAAGGAGTGTGTGTGTGTGGTTTTTACTTACAGAGAGGGGCTGCAAAATGACTCCAAAAAGCTTGAAACTAATGGTGGTAAATCAATATTGTTACAGCTGACCAAAAACAGACTGTGCATAGCCCTGTGCAGGGGCGGACTGACAACTCATGGGGCCCCTGGGCAATAGGGGATCATGGGGCCCCTGTGTCCTTGCCCAAACTCAAAAATGCCTATGAAAAAGGTACCAGGGGCATCTCATGGGGCCCCCTACTGACCCCGGGCCCTCGGCAGTGCCCGAGTTTCCAAATGGTCAGTCCACCCCTGGTCCTTTGTAAAGCCTAGTACACACGGTGACAATATTGGACGAATGATTGTCCTTTTTTTTTATTGCATGCTAGTCTCATATCAAAAACAAATAGGTTATTAAAGTTACAAAAACTCTTCTAAGACAGAATACAACTTTTTTGTACATATGCTATACTAATTCCATGAAAATCGTTTGTTCTGTTATGAGAAAGATGTTCATGCTTATCCTTTATGAATATTTTATGAACTGTCATGATCGGCTCTCAAAAGCTGTGTACTAAAGATAAGATTTTTTTTTTTTTTCACCCCATTTTTTCATCTTGTGTACCAGGCTTAAGCTACAACTCTGATGACTCATACTTTACAAAGGACTTTCATTTGCTCACAGGAACTGAAAAGAGCAGGGGATGGGATAAAGGAAAGTAATTATATACAACTTGGGAGGGCTAAAATAAAGTAAATCTGTTGCTTTGGCCTGCACCTGCAAAGCACAAGTTCACTTTAAGACAGCATTATGCAGCACTCAAAAATTATTTATAAGAATGTAATAGTTTTGATTCACACCTTGATTTCCTACTGAATGCTGGCATGTCATGTGCAGGATGTGCTTTTGGATACCAGAAATAGAATATCAACTAGAAATTCAGAACCCTGCATTTCATCAGTATGAATAATTGTCTCTTTTGGACAAAGCTGTAGCCAGGCATATTGGCCTAATGCAAATAAATCACAAAGACAGCTTCAGTCACACCCTGTCAATGTAATTGCACCCCGCAAACTGAAGTCAGTAAATAGAATTACATAACCGGTTATGCTGCTGGGCTATTTAATCCTATAAATAATTCATAGATTGTAATGGGGATCTAAGGGGTCATGTATCTTTTTCTATTAACTTTCTTAGACTCTCATCTAAATCAGCATTTCTGTCTAGTCTCTGGCTTGAAAATTTCCCTAACTCTACAAATCAAAGCAGTCAGCTTTCTGAGGCTTCAATTTGCAACTTATAATTATCTGGCTTTTTTAGTATCATTAGGGAACATCAAATTCTAAGGCATGCACACCAACACAACTGATGCATTGTCTATCAGACTGTCTTTCCGTAGATACAAACATGTTTTCAGTTGACAGTGCTAAATTGGTGCCTAAATTAGTCTGCCAGCACTAGTAACAGATGTACTTTCTGGCTACTGTTAATAAAGAATTATAAGCACAATAAATAGTCAAGCACATATCCTACAACTTTTTATAATAGCTAATGTTCCTAACCTATATTTATTGTTGTTTTCATGTTTTTATTGCGTTGGTCATCGCACAATACAGTTAAATTATTATCTTCTTTTATACTTTTTGATATTTCTTTATATGGTGATATAACAACAGTTAAATCCAAAATTTTGTAGAAATTTTGTAGAGTAGGAGAAGGTTAAAACTGCTGCCATTTATTTTCAATTTGTGTGTCATTAGGGAGATTTCCTTTCACTTTCTGTAATATATATGCAACAGGAAGTTAGATGATATCTGTAAAATGTGAGTGAGAGTCCCTCTTTAGACAGTTATCATGGGAACAAGTGTCACCATTAGACAATTTTTTATTTCTTCCTGTTCTAGTGGCAATTCAACATTTTGGATTTACTGTACAGTAATGTTAGTGGCTCAGGTGGGCTATCAAGAGGGAAACACATCCCATCTATACAAGAAACTATATATGATATTATTAAGGGAAAATGGACTTTTGAAGTGCCCAAGAACTAAACATATATTGTGTATTTAAAATATTTACACTTTTACTAACAAAGTTTAAAAACATTCAACACCATTATTAAAAATAACCCCTAATGGGATTTATAGAACTCCATCCCATCCAAGAAATCAATGGAAATACTATATTTATATAGACATTTAAGCACACATATAGTATATTGTTCAAAGATTTTGGTTCTCCCCTATTTTCTGGAGCAAGGGAGTATATACCAAGAAAGCACAAAAGCAACTGGACCTCATTGATATTTCAGTGACACAACGTTTGACACAATTTCAGGCAAGGATGGCTCAATACAACAATATATGTGTACTTAAATGTTTATATATACTGTATATAGACACTGCTCAAAAAATTAAAGGAACATTTTTTAATCAGTATAGTATCAAGTCAATTAAACTCCTGGGATATCGATCTGGCCTGTTAAGTAGCGGGGGTTGTTAATCAGTTTCAGCTGCTTTGTTGTTAATGAAATTAACAACAGGTGCACTAGATGGGCAACAATGAGATGACCCCTCAAACAAGAATGGTTTTACAGGTGGAGGCCACTGCCATTTTTTCCCTATTAATCTTTTCTGACTGTTTTTCCCTAATTTTTTGTATTCCCTAGTATTTGGCTAGGGTCAGTGTCACTACTAGTAGCATGAGGTGATACCTGGACCCTACAGAGGTTGCACAGGCAGTCCAAGTCCTCCAGGATGGCACATCAATATGTGCCATTGCCAGAAGGTTTGCTGTGTCTCCCAACACAGTCTCAAGAGCATGGAGGAGATTCAAGGAGACAGGCAGTTACTCTAGGAGAGCTGGACAGGGCAGTAGAAGGTCCTTAACCCCATCAGCAGGACCGGTATCTGCTCCTTTGTGCAAAAAGGAAAGGGATGAGAACTGCTAGAGCCCTACAAAATGACCTCTAGCAGGTAACTGGTGTGAATGTCTCTGACCAAACAATCAGAAACAGACTTCATAAGGGTGTCCTGAGGACCTGATGTCCTCTAGTGGGCCCTGTGCTCACTGCCCAGCACCACAGAGCTGAATTGTCATTTTCCATTGAATACCAGAATTGTCAGGTCCACCACTGGCACCCTGTGCTTTTCACAGATGAGAGCAGGTTCACCCTGAGCACATGTGACAGACCTGAAAGGGTCTGGAGAAGCCATGGAGAATGTTATGCTCCTGTAACATCGTTCAGCATGACCGTTTTGGTGGTGGGTCAGTGATGGTCTGGGAAGGCATATCCATGAAGGGACGCACATACCTCTACAGGCTAGACAATTGCACCCTGACTGCCATTAGGTATCATGATGAAATCCTTGGATCCATTGTCAGACCTTACCCTGGTGCTGTGGGTCCTGGGTTCCTCCTGGTGCACGACAATGCCCGACCTCATGTGACGAGAGTATGCAGGCAGTTCTGGAGGATGAAGGAACTGATACCATTGAGTAGCCCCATTCTCACCTGACCTAAATCCAATAGAACATCTCTGTGATATCATATTTCGGTCCATCTGACGTCCGCCAGGTTGCACCTCAAACTATCCAGGAGCTCAGTGATGCCTTGGTCCAGATCTGGGAGGAAATACCCCAGGACACTATGGGGTTTATTTACTAAACCTGGTTGACTCAGAATCTTGTCCACTTCTGCATAAAAACCAATCAGCTTCCAGGTTTTATTGCTGAAGCTTAACTGAACATGCTGAGTTAGAAGCTGATTGGCTACCATGCACAGGTGCCCAAGATTCTGAGTCAACCAGGTTTAGTAAATAAACCCCTATCTGTCATCTCATTAGGAGCATGCCCCGACATTGTCAGGCATGCATACAAGCACGTGGGGGCCTTACAAAGTACTGAGTACCATTTTGAGTTGCTGCACTGAAATTTCAGCAAAATGGATTAACCTGCTGCATCTTTTTTTCACTTTGATTTTCAAGGTGTCTTTGAATTCAGTCCTCTTTAAGTTGATAATTTTCATTTCCATCAAACGATGGGACATCCTTACATTCCTAACACAATGCCCAGTGCATTTCAATATAGACATCCAGCATGATAATTTTTCCCCCTTTGAGATCTGATGTGCTTTCAAAGTGTTCCTTTAATTTTTTTGAGCAGTGTGTATATATATATATATATATATATATATATATATATATATATACACACATATACATATATACACATATACATACAGTCAGGTCCATAAATATGGGACATCAACACAATTCTCTAACATTTTTGGCTCTATACACCACCACAATGGATTTGAAATTAAACAAACAAGATGTGCTTTAACTGCAGACTGTCAGCTTTCATTTGAGGGTATTTACATCCAAATCAGGTGAACGGTGTAGGAATTACAACAGTTTGCATATGTGCTTCCCACTTGTTAAGGGACCAAAAGTAATGGGACAATTGGCTTCTCAGCTGTTCCACGGTCATGTGTGTTATTCCCTCATTATCCCAATTACGAGCAGATAAAAGGTCCAGAGTTAATTTCAAGTGTGCTATTTGCATTTGGAATCTGTTGCTGTCAACTCTCAAGATGAGATCCAAAGAGCTGTCACTATCAGTGAAGCAAGCCATCATTAGGCTGAAAAAACAAAACAAACCCATCAGAGAGATAGCAAAAACATTAGGCATGGCCAAAACAACTGTTTGGAACATTCTTAAAAAGAAGGAACGCACCGGTGAGCTCAGCAACACCAAAAGACCCAGAAGACCACGGAAAACAACTGTGGTGGATGACCGAAGAATTCTTTCCCTGGTGAAGAAAACACCCTTCACAACAGTTGGCCAGATCAAGAACACTCTCCAGGAGGTAGGTGTATGTGTGTCAAAGTCAACAATCAAGAGAAGACTTCACCAGAGTAAATACAGAGGGTTCACCACAAGATGTAAACCATTGGTGAGCCTCAAAAACAGGAAGGCCAGATTAGAGTTTGCCAAATGACATCTAAAAAAGCCTTCACAGTTCTGGAACAACATCCTATGGACAGATGAGACCAAGATCAACTTGTACCAGAGTGATGGGAAAAGAAGAGTATGGAGAAGGAAAGGGAAACTGCTCATGATCCTAAGCATACCACCTCATCAGTGAAGCATGGTGGTGGTAGTGTCATGGCGTGGGCATGTATGGCTGCCAATGGAACTGGTTCTCTTGTATTTATTGATGATGTGACTGCTCACAAAAGCAGCAGGATGAATTCTGAAGTGTTTCGGGAAATATTATCTGCTCATATTCAGCCAAATGCTTCAGAACTCATTGGAC